TGGTGGCACCACCATGATGTGAAAAATGGTGGCGATGGTGCGTTTGTGATCACGTGCAGTGTTTGGTGTCCATCAAACATGACATCTAGTCTGACATCAAAATCTCAGTTTAATAAATCAAATTCTATAAAGACCAGATTTCTTTCTAAGCGTTATTATCTTCCTGAAAACAGACTTTCTTATAGTTCTGTCTTGTCTGGATACTATCGGTGCTGTACTGTAAATGACAGTGATTATATTGGAAGTCAGATGAGCTTGTTTCAGTGATTATAAATAAAAAAGGCAAACAATTGTGTTTAAAAAAGGCTTTTTTTTATTTTCCACATGAGACTGAACTCAAATAATAAAAAACATACAAAATTATTGCTCTCTTTTCAAATGTAAAAAAAACAGGTATAATTCTGCATCACAGGATCAAAACATTACACAGTTTAAAAAGTTTTTAAAAAGGTAAGATTATTTTTTCTGTTTTAAAAATCCCACACACACTTAAAGGGCAAGAATAAAATAACAATTTGCTGACAATCATTAGAAGAATTTAATTTGAAATAGTGTTATTCGATTATCTTAAATTATTGCATTCACCCTCTCAGTCCTACAGTCACAGTTTGAGATGATGATTCACAGCTATTCAAACTACAGGCTGGCGATTGCACAATAACGCCGCAAAAGCAGAAATGCCAGAGCGTCGCTGGTGTCTCTGATCAGTCAGCACCACATGAACAGGGTAGAAAAAAGTGACTCAGACGAGGTTCAGTTGGACAGATTGACCTGAGCAGACATTCTCTCTAATCTCACACATGCTAGATATAAAAACAAGGCCTCATCGCACACTACAGAGAACAAGCAACACCTCACGAGATCTCACGAAGGAACCGACAGAAACAAACTGGATGCAAAGACGGCCGGCTGGTTTACTCTCAGCAGGATTTGAGGCTGTCGAGGTAACTTCAGGTTGCACGAGGTTCTTTTTTTTTATGGCTCTAAATGATGTGAGTAACACAAAAACAGGAACCGATGAGAACACTGCAGCCTTACAGTCTGAGTGCTGGTCTTATAAAACTTGCACTAAGAGCACTTATCTGGTAGAGTCTTGTTTTTATATTTGGTCTTCACTTTCCCCTCACCACCTGAAAGAATATCCCCTGATTGGCGTCATTTCATCAGACAATCTTGTGCTACACGGTGATAATAAAAGTGACTCTTCCCTAAACAACTTACACACAACTGGACATGAAGAAGAACATCTATTACCCATTCACACACTTTCTCTGACTTTAGCAGCAGACGATGTTCCCTATTTAACCCGTACCCTGTTTAAACTCTTCACACTTGTTTAGGTTCATAGTTTGTTCTTCCATGAGAAATAAATAAAGTCGTACGCTGTCGCCTTCTGTTGACAGTGCTTTGGAATGATTTCTATATTTTTGAGCTTGTTTACCTAATAGGAGTGTTTTCTGAGCAGATTGTTGATACACCTGATTTTTAAAAAAGCAGTACTGGATTTTTTTTTTGCATGTGGTGGCTCCATCACCAAACCAGGAGATACATTCATGGAGTAGATGCTGGTTGCAGCATGTTCATCATTTCAGCAGGAGGGTCCACGTTGTTCTGTTGCTGCTGTCGTCGTCGACCACGTTTACCTGAACGACACAAAACAGGTTGTTTGTCTGTTACAGCTGTTAATTATGATGAAAAGAACCAACCATAGCTTAACAAAGACACACATCAAGTTTCTGCCATGTGTGGGAAGTGTCAATAAACTTAATTCAATGAGTTTCTCTTGTTTTGATTTAAGCCGTTGTTTGAGTCCTTTGT